TTAATTTGATTGGTTGATGTTCATGTGCTATGAAATCTAGAACCTTCTGATCAACATTCTTATACTATAAAAGGTGCGATCCTCAATATTCATTTTTGGTAAAATCCCTGACTGTATTATTATTAGGGTAAATCTATATATTGCACCCCTGTATAATGCTTAAATCTCACACCAGGGGTGTGATATACTTAAATTTCACCACCTATAAAGGATTATTAAGTTACAACGAAATAGTTAAAGTTTCGGCTAAAGATAAAAAAGCTAATAAAGAGCAATCAATTACTATCACTAACAGCCAAGGTTTAATTAAGTAAAAAAGAAAAAGACTGCATGATTCGCGAAGTTACTTCAAAAATTTAAATTTTTACTTGGCCAAAATCTGTAAAATCGAACACATCTCAATGCAATAAACATGAAAAATACAAGCACTGGAAATGCAAATTTGCAACAACCCTAGCATGCAAAATAACTTTATTTAAACAAATAATATGATCTCAACATTTATTGTTCTGTCCCACCTCTGTTAGTTATTACCCGTACTCTTATGAAAAGTGGCATTGTGTCCTACTTGTTAACATATGTAACATTTGTAAGAACCTCTAGTTTTGGGTTTTCCACGAAGGCCTTGTTCTTTTTCAACACTACTCAAATACCATCATTTGTGTAATCGACCTCTACCAGTAACTTTGTTCGGATTTTTCATGTTATTGAGATTAGTGATCTCATTTTCTTGTTCTATTTTCTCCTCTATTTCCTCCTCTATTTCATTACTTTCTGAATCAGCATTAATGTTATACTCATTTATTTCATGGGCATTATTGGGTATTTCATCATTTATAGCAGCTAGGGGTCTTTCGCGAATTACAGGTCTTTCATCAATTGCAGAGCTTTCGTCAATTGCAGGCCTTTCTTGCATATATTCATTTAATTTTCTTCTAATATAGTCTTGAAGAAAGGTAGTAATTTCATCATCATCTTGCTCAACTGCAAGTAAAGTTGCTATTCGCGCTAATCCCCAAACACGACCATATAAATTTCTCTTATAAAAGCCTTTTTAATCATAGGAACAGTTGCTGGAATTGTGGCTGGCTTTCGTGTTGGTAAGATACCTTTATCCATAGGTTCGTTATTTTTTTCACAACTGTATACTATACTCTCTTGTAGATTTAACACATCTTGGTGAATGTCTTTGTATCATCATGGAGGTATCATGCTAATATGAAATGCAGCAGTTTTTGAATTTATAATAACGCAAAAATAGTGACAGCATATAATCCTTCTGGATATAGATTTGAGACAAGAACAAAGAAAAGAAATAGTATTAACAACAATAACATAATGTACATAATTTTTTTCACTTCATATATCTACGACTTTCCATATTTCTGACACTTTCTCTTGTTCTACTTCTTCTATCATGGCCTAGAGAGTCATAAAATGTGTATTGTTTTGATCTTCAATGAATCCTTCTGATGTCGTCTGAAGATTTTCCTTTACAACAACAAGATTTTAGTATGTTATATATGCTGTAAATGGGAATGGAACTAAAATTGATTTGAAATCATAGTAACTATATTGTAAGTGGGAATGGAACTAAAGTTGATTTTGAATCTACTTAAATTAGAACACAATTATTATACCTGAAATCTAATCCTTACCCTAACTCTAACCAAATCAACTTAAATTCCATTCCTATTTACTAAAGTCTAAACCTATACTAATCTTTGATGACTTAAATTTTGCTCCCATTTACCGCATATGCATCATACCTGTTCATGATTCAATTCTTCATAATTGGGCTCAATCAAATTTGCATTAACAAATAAGCATTAAGACATTTCTTCTCTAATCATATTTTTAATGGGTTCAGTAAGATACTTATCAAGAACTTTTGTTATTACTGAAAACAAATCTTGTCCAACTGTATAAGTAGTATTCAACGTAGTGGTTTGCTTATATTCATAAAACTGATTCTATCTTCCTTCTTCTATTAATCTTGAATCGAGATGATCTGCAAGCTCGCATAGAGTACTATTAGCCTTTAGTTGTTGTTTTATGATCCAATTATAGCCTTCAACTCTCGAGGTGGTTTTGATACCAGCCATGAAGATTTTATGGAGATAAGTCTGAGCTCATGATTTATACTTTTGATCCAAAGTACGTAAAAGGTAATCCTTTGTCATTGGAAAATCAGTGAGTAATTGGTTCCATCTTTGCTTAAATAGTGGTTCACATAAGCTGTTACGGCAGTAATAGAACTGTTGGATAAAATTTTCACATTTTTTACCCAATTTGGCTTTCAAATTTTTAGGTAAGTTTTGTGATATATGGAATATACAGTAGGCTGGATATGTTTCAGGAAAAACAATAGGAATGGCAGCATCAAGCATGGGGTCTGCATCAGTAAATATAATAATTGGGGCTTGGTTAGTGGCTCTTCTGATACACTCAAGTATCCAGATATGTGTATTAAGAGATTCATCACTCACTAATGCCTGACAAACAAGTCGAGTTTTGTATTTGTTATCAACTATTATAAAAACCCCCAATGGCATCTGATACTGATTTGTATGAGATGTATTGTCATTGACGATGACATCATGATATTTGAGCCACAGGTTAACCTAGTCGGAAGACATCCACAGAAGATGAGTTAACCGATTATCTTGGTCTAATTCGAAATCAATGACCTAACATAAGTTTTCAACTTTTTTTGCATTAATGAAGTAAGCAGCACAGATGCATCATTGTTAATCTTGTCAGATTTTTTATATTTTTGAATCGCATTTGCCAAATCCTGGTTTTGAAAATGCAGATCCGGAAATCGTGCTTTTAAGAGACTTCTTTGTACTGTAAGTGATAAATTCCCATGTTTTGTCATTAATGAAATTTCATGAAGTGCTTCATCTGTAAATGACTGATACTTTGTTGCAAATTCTTGGATTTTAGGGGACAGCGCATGATTATGTTGATTGATGAACATTGTGACAATTATTTTTGTTTCATGTTCAGGAAATGATAAGTTTACATGCCACAAGCAACTTAATTTTTTTGTTTTGGTGTTCTGTTGTGTTTTTTTTAATGCTGATTCCAATTTTTTTTTAGATTTATATTTACTAACAAATTCACAGATGATGGTCCTTTTGTGAATTTGGCCTTTGCTATTTCTCTTCATTCTATATTTAACAGTCGCAAATCCATTCCTGGCATCATATTTATCGAAATAGCTCTCTGCTTCTTTCCATGTTTCAAACCCAATATCCTTGTGAATGTCTTTGGATGCAACTATAAGTATGCATGTTAGAATGTTGTGATATATATATTAATGATTCAAATACTTACTAAAATCATTGCTATTTTTTCTCTCTATATTAATAGGTTCAATATTCATCATTTGTTCATCATTATCAACATTATTAGAACCACTTTCGATCAAATTTATATCTATGGAGGCTTAAAAGTTACAAGGCCGAAATGGGTAAGCTGATAATATTATGATAGAAGGTATGATAAATGTTAATAAAAGTCTGTATTGCATACTGATTTGGTTTGTATAGGCTGTGTTTTTTGAGATTATGATTTTAGTGCACTTGTTTAAAAACCCAAAATGTAACACAATAGACAAGTTAAACTAAGGTGTTTAATAAAGATTTGAATGTTGATTTTAAGGCAATATTGATTAGCAAAACAACTTTGAGAAAAAAATTATTTTTTTGATCTGTTTATATCATTGTAGATTATTTTAATGCAATATAGCATAATTTTATTTTATCTTAGGAAATGCGATGCATTTATATCTCACTTTGCATAAAAATTATGCATTAGACTCTCACGGCCAATTAAATCGGGATTTATACTTTTATGCAAGATTTAATGGCTTTGCGCCATGCGAGATGCATATTTATCCTTATTATTAACATAATTTAAAACTAATTCAAATGAGTTGATATAAACAAGAGTAGACTATATAACTAATAAATAATATAATAATAAAAATAATAATATACTAAGATAATAATATAATAATAAAATTTATTTTATAATAATATAATAAATTAAATTTTAGCATCATTTTATCTAGTTCTGATGCTAAATATATATATATATTTTATTGTTAAGATAATCTTTTGGTCTTTTGACTTTTATTAATAACTTTTTTAATAATGTAATTTTTGTGAACTATTATAAAAAAAGTATACAATTGATTATATGTATAACTTTTTTATATTATCTATTTAAGAAGTTCATTTAAAGGTTTTTTACTAATTGCTATATCTAATATTCTGCTTGAATGTTCTATTTTAAATTCTTTAAATCTTTATTTATATTAACATTACTGAATTATGTTTAGATCATTATCTTAACCTTAGGACTATTTTAACTTTAAGATAAACCTCTTAGAGTTATCTGTACCTATTTTTACAGTTGATCTAAGTATTATTATAGCAGAACCAACACTTGTGATCAGAGTTTTATTTTTAATTACTATGTTCTTATAGAGTTTACTTAAACTTTAGCATCTATTTTACAACATATCTCTAGTACTTTAGTATATCTCTTTCTGTTTTTTAAACTTTTAATTCAGATAGATCATGTAGAATTATAAGCAGTTTATTAGTATATTAGATTGATCCAATATTCTTTTTTTTCAGTAGCTTAGTTAATGGTATTTTTGAAACTTTCAACTTAGAGGTTTTTGTCTATTTAGGTACTTTGATATTAGTATTCATTTTTATTAATCTAGTCTTTACAATAGTATTATTAAAAATTTGTATTAACTCTTTATTTAGATCTTATCAAATAGACTTCTTGTTTTACAATTTTAACAAATTTACATAATCACAAGAACTTATTTAGTGTTTGCACTACCTAATACCAGTTTGTATTTCTTTGTATAACTAGTTATACAGATACTTTATAACTAGCTAGTTGTGCTAATATAATTACTATTATAGATATTTTAATCTAATTGTTAGAACAGTTGTCATAATACAAGTATTATATAAATGTTTATCCAAATTTTTGCTATTAATAAGATTTGAACACCTAATCTATCACTTAAAAGGTTGACAACTTATCTATTTTACTAAGTTGCCACATCTCAGTATTAAATATTTTATGTTTTTTTGCTTTATATAATTATTTTAAGTCATTATTTACTAGTTAAGAAGATTTAATATAATTTATTAATATTCTTATTTTGTCAATTAATAGATTAATTTAATTTCTTTTATAACTACCAAATTTAATACATATGCAAAGTAATAATAATAGATAAAATTTAAATTATTAAAATCTTTTTTTAGTTCTGCTATTATAAAGCATTACAAAAAATTATTAAAGAAACATTATTAGTTGTTAGTAATAGAGCTTTTGTAATTAAATTAAATTTATAAAAAATAGATATAATTGCATTAGCTATATTAAGTTCAGTATATTATACTATTATAAAAATTATATTATAAAGAAAATTTCATAAAACCCAAAAAAAATTATATAATGAATAGTTAAACTAAGAAAGGCAGTTTCATTTAATACTGTTTATATATTAGCTATAAAGAAAACTTTTTTAAGAATTTTACTTATTGCTAATTTTATTTATTTATTTTTCTTGATAAAGTGTTATAATATAGTTGCTTATAGTATATTAATTACAAAATGTATATTTTAAATTAATGGATAGGATTTATCCATACTACTGATAGTACATTGTACTATATTGAGTATAGTAAACAAATTTACCCTTTTCTGTTAAAAAAGCTACCTGAAGCTAAATAATCCTATAACATAATTTTCATAAGCAACTTAACACATACTACTATTTATAATATATATTTATTATTAAAAAATATACAAAAAATTGAATATGATTGGCCAAGTTAAAAAAAATTCTATCAATTAAAGTTGCATATATTTAAATATTTGGGTAATCGTATATCTGAATTGTAAAAATGATGTAATACAATTAAAAGTGCCAAAGACAAGCTTAGAAGTTAGCTTTTCTTCTCATGATTTTGAAGCTACAATTTAATAAACATTTTTTAAATGAAACGATGATAAAGTCATCACAATACAAGTAATTTGAGTTAATAAATGTGCGTGAACTAAAAAATACATAATAATAAATTACTGAATACCTATCTAAACCTTGAAATTTTATAACAAAAAACTTCGTAGTACTCTGTAGCTTGATTTTTTTTTTTTTTAGTTGCTTTTTGTGTTTTTTTTTTTTTTTTTTTTACATATGAGATGCATTTCATCATACATTTAAGAAGGTGTTAAAATTAGTGTTTTGGGTGCAGTTGTTAGTAATAATATTGATTGCTTACTTTTAGAAAACAAATAGAAAACAAGACACCTTTTTGGCACCATTTTACATGCAGCATCTGGCAAGAATCGCTGAGTAATTGCTCTTAATATACAACCAGATGTTGAAATTGAAGTTTTAGCTAGTCACATAAAATTTGAAACTGTTATCAGTAATAATATAGATGAATTTAATAGCGAAAATGATGATAAATTACCTGTTAATGAATTTGAAATGGATATGTCTAGTAGTGATGAGCAAAGTAAAGATAAAGTAGAAAATATTAGTATTTGAAATAGTGCACTGTGAACTAATGCAGTTGTAACTATTGACTCCCATCAAGTACATTTATCTTATTCAAAGATATCAGCTATAAATATAGCTAATATTTCTAATGCTTCATCTAGACAATTGTTTGAACATTTTATACTGATGGAGTATATTATATCAGTAGCAATACCAAAAACAAATTAATATGCATGTGCAAATAAAAAATTATAAATGGATTTAACATAGATGGAATTTATACACTTTGTTGAAATTTTAACTTTTATGACATATGTACGATATGCTGATATTTATGATTACTGGTCTACAAAATCAGAAATAGGTAGTGCTGCTTTTGCACTTGGACAATATATGTCACATAAAAGGTTTTGCAGTATTCTTAAATACTTGACATTAACAAGTACAATAGATTTAACAACAAATAGTGATGATCTATTTTATTTTGCTTAGCAATTTCATAGCGCATTTAATGAAAATCTTTCACAAGCTATTACACCTAATAGTTCACTTTGCATTGATAAATCCATGTGTCAATGAATGGGCAAGGTCGATAAAGGTCCATTTTAACAAAAAATACCAAGAAAGCCACATCCTATTGGCTGTGAATTTAAAGTTATCACTGATGTCCAAGTAAATTTATTTTTACAACTAGATCCTGTTGAACCTTCTAAGTATTCTAAAAAAAAAATTTGCAGAATATTCACCAACAGTAGCAACAGTATTATATTTAACAGAACTGTGGTTCTATAGTAGTAGAATTATAATTGCAGATTCATAATTTGGTAATACTAATACATGTACAACTTTATATAAACATGGCCTCTACTTTATTTTGCAATTAAAAAAGTGTTGTTATTGGCCTAAGAATATTTCTTATGATATTATAAGTGCTCTTAATAATAATTATAGTTCTTCAATTAGTCAGATTGGAAAAATAGATAATATTGATTTAACTGTGTATTCTGTTCGTAATCATAAGGATATTGCATTACTTAAAAGCTATTCTATAACAAGTCTTGGAACTGAAGTAACAAGATATATTAAAGATCATGATAATATAAAATTTCAATGGTCAGCTATTTTTAATGAATATAATAAGTTTAAATCTGCCATAGATATTCTTAATAATTTACGTGATAATGCTCTTTTTTATCATAATGTTATTACAATACAAAATTCTGCTGATCATATTTTTGCTTTTTATTTTACTATTGCAGAGGCAAATAGTTTTTTTGCATATTGTAGATTTGTTGCAAATAACAAAAAAATAAGGCATACTGATTTTTGGAAGTGTTTAGTAAAATTAATATTGGAGCATTATCTGAGACAGCAAACACTAATATGATAAAAAAAAATGAAAATTAGAGTTAAACAATATTGAACATAAT